TACTCAGCCATAAAGAATGAGAAACTAGAGACATTTAAAGCTAAGTGGATGTATATTGAGGCCATAGTCTTAAGTGAAATAAATAGGACACGTGTAAATAACAAATAGTTTCTCTGGTGTGAAAAACTAAAAGTGTAAGGATCAAAATGTATAATTGTTATTGTGTAATAGGAAGAAAAGGTCTAAAGGAGTAGGAGAAGTGGGAGGGGTAGGGGAAAGGAAAGAAGGGAAAATAAAAAATGAGAAAAGGAAAAAAATGGAAACAAAGTCTTTATAAATAGGGAAGGGTGGAGGGGGTGAAGGGAGGGCAGGGGAATGGGTAAAAAATAACCAGGATAGGTCATGTAAAGGTACAAGATCCCAGTGATGAATGTAACTATATTGTATACCTAAAATGTACCAATAAACTTAATGGAAAAAAACCCCATATAAGCAAAGGCAAAAAAAATACTACACTAAGTGAAATATCCATATACAGTATCCAATAAGGTAGCCAGTATACAAATGCTGTATGATTCCACTTTCATGGGGTACTTAGAATAGGCAAATTCATAGAGGAAAAATAGAATGGAAAAGACCAGGGACTGGAGGAAAGAAGAGTTATTGATTAGTGGAGTATAAAGTTTCTGAGATGATGTAAAATTTCTGGAGATAGATTGGGGTGATAGTTACATAACATTTTCAATGTACTTAATGCCACTGGATCGTACACTTAAAACTGGTTAAAATTGTATAGTTTTTGTTATGTGTATTAGTTAAAAGGTTCGAATAAAATTTATAAAAATTAGGAAAATAACTTCTTTCATTAAAAAATCAAAATGTCATTGTAGGAAATTTTGGAAAATTTAAAAAGTATGTAAGTTAAAAATCATTATCCATTTAGCTAGTCCAGTCCTTATAACCATTAATAACTTAGGCTTTTTTTGTTTGTGTTTTTGAGACAGGTCTTGCTATGTAGTTCAGGCTAGTTTGTTTTTTGTTTTTTGGTACCGGAGATCAAGCTCAGGACCTTGCACTTCCAAGGCAGGCACCATGGCGCTGAGCTAAATCCCTGGTCCTGGTTTTGAGTTCACTGTGTAGCCCGGGCTGGCCTCAAACTCAAAGTGATCCTCCTGCCTCAGCCTCCCCAGTGCTGGGATTGCAGGCGTGGACCACCATGCCTGGCTCATTTGTTATGGTTTTAAAAACATATATAATGTTTGCATTTTATGCAAATATAAATTACATAAAGGAAATATAAAATATTTCATATTATATGCAAACTTTTGAAATTTTGTAAGTTTTTTTTAAGTATTGAGGATGATCTATCATTGAGCTATATCTCTACCCCTTGTAATTTTAAAATTCTGAAACAGCTTTTTCTAAGTTGCCCACGCTGCCCTTGAACTTGAGATCCTTCTGTCTCAACCTCCTGCATAGCTGAGATTATAGACATACATCATCACACCTAGCTCATTTCACATTTGTCAAGAGATTTCCTTAATTTTAAAGCTGGCAGTTTTAGTGAATAAAAACATGCCATGTTTTACAGGGATGTTATTTTATGAAATACTTGTTTAGCTTTTTAAGAAATATGTGTGCTGCGTAATGATTTAAAATGGAATTCATACTGTGAATCACAGTGTAAAAATTTTTTTGAAAAGCATTTGTTAGAATGGTTAAAATGGAGTCTTCTTGCCTTGGCCTGTTTTCCAGATTTTTCACTTTACCAGCTTTATGACCTTGGTTTAGCTACCTAACTTCTTCATACCTTGTTTTCTCATCTGTTAAACTAGTAATAATATCTGCCTCATAAGATAAAATTAATTCATCCACACAAGGGCTAAATCAATAAGCTATTTTTGTTAACATAGGTATTAATATAGATCCATTGCTCTTTATAACAAATTTTAAAAGTATATTAAAAGAGGAAATTAAAGCCTCTTTAATCTCATCATGCAGAAATAAGCACTAACATAACTTCTTCTGCAATACCACAGAAATGTGGAAAATTTAGTGCCAGTAACGTCTTTAGTAATTTGATTATATATTAGGGAATTTCTACCTGTGCACGATATATCTTGCTGCTGCTTTGTTTTCCATTCCCCTCCCCTCCCTTCAACTCTTCTTCCACTCCTTATTTACAAAAGCTTTTCTTGGAAGTCTCTAAGGTATTTAAAATTCAACATATTTAAAATAGCTTGGGTTCCTGCCCTCACTTCAAAACCTGTCCTTCTCATGTCTTTTCTTAGTAACGAGCACAGCCTAGCTGATCAAGCCTGAAACCAGGAGCATTTTTTATTCTCTCCCAATATCCAAACCATTGGCATCTCTTGTTATTTATACCCCCAAGATGCATCCCCAGTGTATCCTATTGACTCCATACCTGCAGTTGTCATGTAGGGCCAGCTAGTTACTGCAGACCTAGAACTAATAATTCTGCTCTTGAGCCCAGCACCTGGAGGATTTGTGGTGACACACATCAGGCAGTTCAGTCCTCTGATTAAAATCATGACTGACTTAAGACCAAATCCAGATGCCTTTCCCTAGCCTAAAAGGCTGTGCATTACCTGCCCCAGACCGTTCTTCCTCTTACCCATTTCTCATTCTTTCTCTCACTTTAGCCACACTACCCTCTTAAGAGCTTGAACTCACACAGATTTCTACCTTTGAGACTTTGTACAACTTGATACTCTGCTGGGATGCTTTCTTTCCTCCATCCTGGAAATATCTACTTGTTACTTTTCATCTGTCATGTCTCAGTTTACGTGATGCTACTTTGTCATAAAGGCAAAATAGTATATTGTGACAGATGCTGTGGAAGAAATGACCAAGATGCTGTGATGAAGGATAATGGGTTCAGGTAGCAAAAGAGACCCTCCTTTGTCCAACTGTCCAATCTCTTGTTACCTGAACCTCTTATAAACTTTTATTCTTTGACATTACCCATTCTGTACTACTGTTACAGTAGCATGAAATGGACTAAGACAGTGGTATGTGTTCCTTTCTTATCTGGCCTGCTATTCTGCCTTAGATGTCCTTTCATAGTGTTTGTCACAATCTAGGTTATATTTTTTGTTTACTCGTTTATCTATCTCTTAGTGCACAGTGATGAGGGATAAAATCATTCCTGTTTTGCAGAGGATGAGGGATAAAATCATTCCTCTGGGAGGCTGAGACAGGAGGATTGCAAGTTCAAGCCCTAGCCTGGGCAATTTAGAGAAACCCTGTCTCAAAAAAAAAAAAGGGCTGGGCAAGTCCTGGGTTCATTCCTTACTCCTGAAAAAATATTCCTGTTTGTTAATTCCTCATATTATATGTAGTAATGTAGTAATGAGTGAATGAATGAATAAAAGACAGTTGTAAATTTTGGAAGGGACACAAGTTTATAAACATTCCTGTGGCTGATTTTTAAATTAATTTTATTGGTACATTTTAGGTATACAACATAATGACATTGATCCTTAGAAATTTGCACCTTTATGTAACCTCTCTTGGTTCTTATTTTTTTCCCATTCCCCTGCACTCCCTTCAACCCCTCCATCCCTCCCTATTTACAAAGACTTTGTTTCCATTTTTCCATTTTCTCATATTCCATTCCCTTTACTTTCTCCCACTCCTCCCACTTCCCCTTCTCCTTTGGCCCTTTTCTTCCTATTTCACATTATCTGTTACATCATTTAGTCCTTATTTACACTTTCAATTTCTCATACTAGATAAACTATTCAGTATTTACACATGTGTCCTATTTATTGCACTTAAGAGTATCACTTCAGTGTGCATCCATTTAGCTATAAATATCTCTAATTTCTCATTTCTTATGGCTGAGCAGTACTCCATTTTATATACAAAAAACACATTTTCTTTATCCAGTCTCCAGTTGATGGGCAATTGTGCTGCTTCCAAGCTTTAGCTATTACAAATTGTGCTGCTATGAACAGGGATGCACATACATCACTGTGGTATGATTCTTTTTAATTCTTTTGGGAAGATACCCAGCAGAGGAATAGCTGGGTCAAATGGGACTTCCAGTCCTAGTTCTTTGAGGTATCTCCATTCTGATTTCCACAGTGGTTACACCAGCCTGCACTCTCACCAGCAGTGGAGCAGGGTTCGTCTTTCCCCACAGCCCTGCCAGCATTTGTTATTGGTTGATTTCATGATAGCCATTCTTTCTGTGGTGAGGTGGAATCTCAGCATTGTTTTCATTTGCATCTCT